GAAAACATTCGGTCGACCGCCAGCAGCTCAGAGTCAAATTCTAGGCTCAGGAAAACATCTGGTCGACCGTGGCGGTCGACCGCAAAATTCTCTGGACTTCATCCGGTCGACCGCCACGGTCGACCGCGAGCCACCAAAAACATTCTGAGTCTCTGGATTCAAGGCGGTCGACCACAAACAGATACATGCATTTAACAGGTTTTGAAGCAGTTTTTTGATTTTGAAACCCTGTTTAAAAATATCAAACAAATTCAGAAAAAATATAAAACTTTAAGAAATGATTGTAGACATGATAATAAACATGCTACAAAAATTGGTTTTCAAAAAGGACCTACCAAATGAAAAATATCATCATTTTGTAAAAATAGTCCAAAACATAAAAATGTAAACATATGAGTTTTGACATTTTAGCTTAACCATGTTTTGAAACATTACAAAATGATTTTGTAGACTTAATAAAAGATGTATATGATTATTGTTAAGTCCAAAAACTAAGAATATAATATTTTCACAAAAGTGCATATTTTGCAAACTTTTTAAAAATAATAAGTATGATTTCATTGACCTAAATAAAATTGATATTGATGAAATCATATATATGCATATAAGTATGAAACAAGAAATGTATTTTCAATTGTATTCAATTGTTTCATATTAAAACTTAGAAACTATCAAACCAAAATATATATGTATATATATAACTGTTAGGAATCTTGACCCCAAGATTAGTTTGTTTTGATGATAACAAATATTATATGTTGTGTGTATTATGTGCTAACATTTGTTTTGCAGTATCAGAGCTATATCAACAATTATATTCAAAGAGATACTCAAGACATAGATGAGTTCAAGGCAAAATGAAGCAAAGAAGAAGATATACTTTATTGTCAAAATGTAATTTTATATTTTCTTTGCTTAGAAATTTGTACAAGCCTTGATCACTCACACACATGCACACACATAGTGTTAGAACACACTAACACATGCTTAGTGTGTTGGTTAACAATAGAAATCCCCTATGTTAGCCATTAGAGTTTATAAATATTGGGTGAGTCTTAAAACATTTCATTTACACCCCTTAGAAATTAGAATCTGGAAAAACTCAAAAGACCAAAGTTGTAGGTCTCTTCAAGAGCTTTCCAACAAATCTTAAATCACCTCATTCCGATATCGGATGAGAAAGTTATAGTCAAAATACTAAACAGAAAAATTCCAGAATCTGAGTTTACAGTGTAGTCGACTACTATGCCTTGTAGTCAACTACTAAGCAATTTTCTGACTTCACAGAGTCTGTTTAGACTCAGTGTAGTCGACTACTATGACTTGTAGTCGACTACAAAAGCAGTTTTTCCAGATTTCAGGTTTAAAATAAGTGACTGTTTATAGCCGTTTTGTGGACGTTAATTGGGTTTAAAATTATGTCATTTCAGAGGCTATAAATAGGTTTAAACATCAGAAAACAAGCACCAAGTTTTGCACTTGCAAGATCAAACATTTTGTGCATATTCACTCTCTAATTTTCCAGATTTTCATGCTAAGTGTTTAGAAAAAGAGAGTTTCTGATATTGCCTTGGTTTCAATCATTCTTAGAGATTGTATAGGCAATATTCAGAGAGTTAAAAGAATCCTAAGCCACTGCAGCACTTCACTACACATTCAAGGCTTATAGGATCAATTGTGTTCTTGCTTCAAAAAGGATTTCTCTCGGGTTTGAGAGGGTTGATCTCTTGGTTTATATATATATATATATATATATATATATATATATATATACATAAAAACCAATATAATGTGTGTGTATATATGATTGAGCTTAAAGTACCAACACACATAATATGATACCTAAACTAAATATACCCAAGCTTGATGATCTTCAACGAAGCTCTATCTTGGTAAACTTACGGATGAAGCTTGAACTTGAATCTTTAACTTGAATTGCATTGCTTCATTCCATAATTCCGCCAACCTCCATTGGATATGATCGTGAATGCGCAATTCCATCCATCCTCCAACTTATTGTTTGTCTACAATGAATACAAAACACAAACACTAGACAAATAATATTAGATGTAAATTGTTTGTTAAATATCATCAAAACAAAGAGGCCAACATGGTCAACCAAGAGCACTCCTTTGTACTTGTCGTATACATGTGTGTCACCAATGCTCAAGAGTGGACGACAAAAAAAGAACCATTTGATAGCGGGTCCAAATACCCAAAATACTCGCATGAACCTTTCCGTTCCCGGTGCAATCGCTTTAGACAATATTTCATATTCAGTACTCAGATTTTTCCTCTTAATTGCTTCAAGATATTGTGGAAGTAATTCGTAAGATTTCTCCCAATCTCCAAAGATTTTAGTCAACGCCTTTCTCTATGCATCATATGCTTTGTATTTGGATATAGTTATTTTTCTCATATCATATACCCTTGTAATTATCTGACTTTGAGTAAGATCAAGTTCTCGTCTAACTTCGGGCAAAATTAGCTTCATGATATAAGAGGAACTTGTTGTCTTATGATCGGCATTAACAGTTGGATTGCAACATGTATGAATTCCACAATAACTAGAGATCATAAATTGCCCATTAGATTTTTTCCTAACCGCTGCATTAAGCTTCCATGGACACTTTGAATTTCTCTCGTCTTGAGCACTTGCATACTCTCCTTGAGCTTTCTCGTTGAAGTAGCACTTGACATGATAATTGGTTGTATTCATTTTCACCGGCTTGAATTTAACCCGATTCTTGATTGACCATTCACGTATAGCAAAAACCAAAGTTTCCTTATTCTCGAAAACATCTCCTTTTTTGAAAGTGAAGTCCTCGGGTCATTCGCCATTAGGACCAAGCTCAACGAACTCAGCTTGTGAGGCATTTATCCACTCATCATTTTGAAACTCTTCTGGCAATGGTTCTTCAGACTCAACATAATCGTTGTTCACACAATATTCATCCATCCAACGGGTGTCCTCATCGGTTCCTCCAATTGCACATTTCATACTATCAAGACATTCCTCCTCTTCAGCATCTCCATAATCATCATTTGCATCTGCATCATTATCCTCTTCTACAATAGAACCAACTGCTAAATTAACTGAAACATGACCAGAAGCGTTATGGGACACGTCACTTGACATTGCACCCGAGTCATTTTCTAAGTGTAAGGCACTTGGAGATTAAATGAATTCGTTCGAGTTATTTTCTAAGTCAAACATGTGGGAGAACTCTCTTGGAGCATATGAAACTTAGGCAACACCGGATATTGGAACATTTTCAATGAACAACTCGATTGAGATTTGGTTTTTTGCAAGTTGTATCATGTCATTCAGTTCTTGATCATTGGTGATCTCTATAGCAATTGTTCTTTTTTTATTTATCGGTCAATTACAGAAGACCTTAGTGGCATACTCTCCATGATTAACTCTAGTAACTCTGTATATTTGCTCCATCATTCCATCGAAGTTAGAATTTTTAGATAACATGAACATTTTTCTAGATCCTCCCTCATATATAGGCATATTATTTATTCTAACACTCAGTTTCTCATTGAATAAGCAAATAACTGGTATTTCATTCGCCATTCGAACTAAAATATTAACATTTATCATATGCAAATTATTTGTCAAATTTTGATCTAACAAATTTTAATCTATCAAATTTTAGTCTACCAAAATTTAACCAAATCCCATTGTTTATCATAATTAAAAAATTATTCTAAATATACAGTTATTTCTAAACTATAATTTTAACTAAATAATATAGATGAAATTAGGAAAAAATCAAATTTTATGCCTTGATGAAGATTCAAAATTCGTCGGCATCAAAGAGGAGACAACATCAGACTTCAACAATACAACTTAAGCGAGGATTTCTATTTGGGTTTGGAGAGAATGATTTTGGAGAGAATGAGTTTGGTGAGAATAAGAGAGAGAAAATTGAGGGAGAAAGAGGTGTTTTGGAGAGAATAAAGGGAATGGGGTTAGGGTTATTGAGGAAGTGAGATCGGGAGAGAGAGATTGGGTGAGGGTGGGTGAAAATCGGGGCAGAAGCTACTGAGAGATCGGGGTAAAATTCGATCGGCGAAGAGGTGGAAGTTGTGCCCTAATTGTTAGGCACAACGAGGCTTTTATAAGCCCGACAAATCCACGGGACTAGTAATCGATTTGTTGGGCGGACTTCGCCAAGTGGTGACGAAGTTTCTGCTTATCGCACGGAACTAGTAGCCCCGTGTGTTTTGGTTGGGCGTCAGAAAACCCAAGGGACTACTAGTCCCGTGGGTATTCTGAGATGGTTTAGTGGCCAATTAAGGGTCACTAAACATACGGGACCAGTAACCCCGTATGTCTCGGAAACACATTTTAGCGAAACCAACATCGGCCAAAAAGAAGTCGGTTTTGCTAAATAATTAGCAAAACGATCGGTTTTGCTAATTATTTAGCAAAAATAGGCTCTTTTGAAAAAAAACTCCTAGTAAAAAAGATGATACACTTCCAAAAAAATACTAAAACAGTCGTCACGATGCAATCATTTTCTTATAAATAGACATCGAAATTTTGGAGAGGGGTTGACTTTCATTCATCAACGCTTCCTTTAGCGGCACTCAACTTTTTCAAGATAATAACACCATCGGCATTTTTGTTTCACATTACTGTAGATGCCGCTCCTGAGCGCTTTAGCCAAGTTATTGTCAAGGAACCCTGATAATATTGCAAAAAAACATAGTATGATCATAGTATTGTAAATCCCCCAAGCATCGCAATGAAACATTTAAATGTGAATCCCATTGACATACTGCAATTTTCTCTGTAACCAACACTTCATAAATTACAAACATAAAACCTGTCATATCCTAAGAAAATGTGTATGATGTGTATCATATATTGAATTTTCAGTTTTTTAACAAATTTGGAGAAGAAAAAAATAATAATAATGACATGAAAGCTCATCTCATCACTGTCATGAAGCAAATTATACTGTACCTGCTTCAACCTCCTCCTCCTCCTCCTCCTCGACTTCTTCCATAGTACTTCCTTATCTCCCACAGCTGCTCTACAACTTCTTTCATTGCTGGACGATCTGCTCGAGTTGGAGCAGCACAGTCAAAAGCCAAACCAAGCACTCTCATTACCACTCTCCCATCTACTGCATCCTTCAACAATGGATCCAATATCGCCATCACATTCGCTTCATTATAGTTCTTGAAAGCCTGTGATAATCAATAAAAATAGTTTAATCAACAAATTCACATAACTCCCTGAACTTTATAATTCACATAAAACCCTCCTGAACTTACAAATTATACTGAACCCGTTTGAACAACTGAAAATTCTTATAAAGACATTAGTAGGGAGAGTAAAAAGTCTAAACGATCTTTTTTTCTTCTCCCCTTTATGGTAAAACTGTGCAAAAGCTATCACGTGCTTAAGTAACTTCCATCAATCATGATACTTGAGTGAGACAAGATAGGCGGCTTTGTGCAAAACCCCCCAAAGTTCAGGCGGTCATGAAACTAAACTTTTAATTGATGACAAAATATCGTAAAGGAAAATTTTTAGGATTTCTTGTATTATGCCTTTAAATCATGTGTACCCCCAAATCACCAATTTTGGGGAAAAAGTACTCCCAAATTAACAAATTATTAATGATGTTGGATATGATGAGTGAACATTTTACTATTTTGCTGATATTTTTAAATTGTAGTTACAAAGTTGATTATTTGTTGATTTGAGGAGTATTTTTTCCCCAAGTTGATGATTTGGGGTAGTTTTCCAGACACTGTGATAGACGCATGATTTAAGGGATTAAAAAAAAACCCAGAGCTTAAATATCACAGCTTACCCATCGGACAGTAATCCTTTCATCAGTACTCCTCTTCATCTCTACAGGGCGGCGTCCAGAAAGAATTTCAATAAGCAAAATACCATAGGAGTACACATCACTTTTGGGTGTCAGCTTAAAAGTCTTGAGGTATTCTGGATCAAGGTACCCGGCTGTTCCTTTCACTTTGGTCAAGATATGGGTTTGCTCTGATTCTGTTGGACCTATTCTAGCAAAACCGAAGTCAGATACTTTGGCTCGAAAGCTTTCTGTTAGCATGATGTTCGATGACTTCACGTCTCTGTGGATTATTGGCTTTTCTGTCAAAACAACACATTTAGAATGCTCTGTTATGTCAGTTGTGCACAATAGCAGGAAGGTGAAATGAAATAATAGAACATGACAATATTTATTAGGGTTAATTGTGGATAGACCCCCTGTACTATTGCCCAATTGCAGATAGACCCCTTAGTATCGCCCAAGTGCGGACAGACCCACCAAGGTCCATTTATTAAAAATAAAAAAAAAGAAATTTCTCTTTCTCTGAGGGTAAAGGAGTCATGAAAGATTCATTCTACAACAAGGGGGCCTATCTACAAATATAGAACTATGGGGAGCCTATCCGCTACAGAGGGCTATGCGCAATTAGCCCTAATAAATATCAATTAGCCCTAATAAATATCTAAACTGCTTAAGAATCACTCAACTGGAACCAAACTATTACTCCACTTGGGGATCGGGCCCAAAACATAAAAGGATGCCGAATATGTAATCATTAATTTGTTGAAGATAAGAAAATAGATATTATTTCTATCAAGGATGGGCAATTATAGTAGGAAACATGAAAAACATCTTATCTAAAGAATTTTCCGGCATGTTATAGGTGCTTTACCAGTTTACCTGCATATAGATGAAGATAAGTTAGAGCATGAGCAATGTCTATAGCTATTTCCAGTCGTTGATTAAAATCCAGAATTTTTCCATGCTGACCTGGCAAATAAAATAAAAATATTACATGTCTTCATATAGTACAATACATAACTTAGTAATATCAAAATAGAACACTTACCATCCAGATGCTCTCTTAGAGTACCATTTGAAACATATTCGGTAATGATTATACGCTCATTTCCCCTTTCAGTGTATCCAAGTAACTTCACTAAATTTCTGTGATCAATTTTAGTGAGTAGCTCAACTTCATTGCTAAATTCATCTCTTAGAGACGAAAAATGTTCCTGTTGTAGCATTGTCGTTAATAGAGAAGCATAAATTGGACAAAGTATGAAAGGAGATATCATTCAGAAATCATAATGAAGCTTCCACAACATGTATAATTATCATTGAGATACTAGTAGCATTGACATGAAACAAGAAATTTTCTTGTATTTTGAATGTATCATGTTGGCTCAATGACTTGAACTATGCCTTGTCAAATTTACTATAAATGAATGCTAGACCAGTGATGAAATTTTTGGCCATCAATTTGGAGATGTTTTAACAATTCATGAGGAGAACATCATATCTGAAGATGGCCATAACCATTCCATTTAAAGCACATGCACCAGTTCCTCGATTCTATGGGTTAAAGATTCACAAGGGAGAGAAAATATTCTGTTGATGACACACATTTCATCTTTCTGTGTTAATAACAAGGTTGACAATTTAGAATTATATAGAGGAAAGATGGAATTCACTTCACCTACAAGTTGCTCATTAGTAGTAGTAGCTGCAGTTACTGCTGAGACTGTCGTTTGAAATCATAACAGCCTTAATAGTTAATAGTATGCTTTGCTTGGTTAAACTTTATGGAATCTAGACTCCTGCTAAAGTTACATCTCATTTGATTTATTAAAAGAGAACCAATTTGACTAAAAGATCCAGTTCCTTTCTTTTCACTAAGGGTTCATTGCGGATAGACGCCATGCACCATTGCCCAATTGCAAATAATCCCCTGGAAAGTTTATTGTTGCAGATAGACTCCCTGAGTGAAAATGTTTCACGTTTTTACCCTCAGGACGTATATTTGTCGCTAAACAAGTTTATCTTTCTCTGAAGGTAAAATAGTCAAAAATAAATAAATAACGAGCTACCTTCTTCGCTCGCTTGATAGCAACAATCTGACCATCTGGCAAAACAGCCTTGTAGACAGTGCCAAATCCACCATCACCAAGCTTTAGTGAAGGTGAAAAATTATGCGTAGCTTTCATAATCTGATTAACACTGAGACGCACAGATCCAATTCTGTTCAGTTGTGGTGACATTGAGAACCGAGATGGACTTGGAGGTACTCTCATTGGAGATGGTGGGGGTTTTACTGAGCCCGAGCTTGCATCCATAGCCGAAACCACATCCACTATTAAGAAGTAAAACTCTAATTAGAAAATTATTTCAAGCAAAAGGAATGGGAAATAATATGCAACAATCCCGGGTGAATCCCAGAAAATACAAAGAAAAAGGATATATACATATAGGGGTCAACGCAACACGGCGCTCAGACTACCGTCGAACATCTTTCAAGTTGTGGGTCTACTACTGTACTACATTTATAAAGTTATTTGCCATCAAGAAAAAAACATTCAAAGTCCCTTGGAGGCAGAGTAGGGATGAAGATCTAGACTTCAGCAGCAGTGAAGGTAAAAAACACTCTTCCGTACTATATGATGCGTGCAATGATTGTACAAGATAAAATATAGCAAAAGGAGTACATTAACAAGAAATCAGAGGTAGCTCTAATTGAAGTAAGACAAGGAAGATTCATTTGAGATAGTCTCAGCATGTAGAACAGGGACCAGCAAGTTTTCCAGCCGTGATCAGGATATAGTAGTTGCTAATTTAACAAAAGTGGCAAAATGCATTCTTGTTGTATGATTATCATTAATGCTCTCTGAAGAAACTCCATGCGCGTATGACCAAAATGGTCCATGCTTCAGAAAATAACCAGAAAACCCCCATAAAATATCTACCAAATCCTTATGCGTTAGGGAATTAGGTTTGGTGTCTCGCATGCTTCCTGGGGACTAAAGAGAGAGTCTGAGAAAAGAACTAGAGAATGGGTTCAGTCCAACAATGAGTAGAATGAAATACCGATAAATTGGTTGAATAAGTACAGGTCCAATGCTTAATATGATGAATGTAGATTGCCTTTAGCCAGTGCACATGAGCCTAGTCCATTCTGTTGGACCAGTTCAGTATATTGGTCCTTCATTTGAGCATGTTAGGAAACTGTTTTACCCAAAAATTTAAACAATCGTACTATGAACTAACAAACGCACATTAAAGTAAAATAGAGCCACATTAAATGGCTCCAGCTAAACTAGCTTTGAAAATGTTCATAATGACTAAATATATTTTAGATTTCACACCAATGAGGTTAAAATTTGTAGTATGAGCTAAAAATGCATATTAAACTGCTTTAGTTAACACGTTCTCTCAAGCGGGTTCTAGAGCCACATTAAAAGGCCTCCAGCTGAACTACCTTCAAAAATGTGCAGGATGAAAAAAAAAATTTAAATTTGACACCAATGAGGTTTAATATTTGAACTATGAACTAACAACGAATACTAAACTACTTTAACCAACACTTTCTCTCATGTTAGATGTAGAGACACATTAAAAGGCCTCCAGCTGAACTAGCTTTGAAAAGGATCAGGTCTATAGGGATCAGGATGACTAAATATATTTTAAATTTGACACCAATGAGGTTTATAAGTTTGAATTATGAACTAACAACACATATTAGACTACTTCGATTAACACTTTCTTATACAAGAGTTATAACCACATTAAAAGGCCTCCAACTGAACTAGCTATAAAAAGGATCAGGATGACTAAATATATTTTAAATTTTACACCAGTGAGGTTTATAATTTGAACTATGAACTAACAGTCTAACAATATATATTAAACTACTTCAATTAACACTTTCTCTCACATAAGTCATAGAGCCACATTAAAAGGCCTCCAGCTGAAATCGCTTTAAAAAGGTTCAGGTAAGCAAATATATTTTAAATTTGAGACTGATGAGGTTTAAAATATGACCTTTTGAACATGATGTGCGGATACCACATCTAGAAATACTCTGTCCAGAGCTTAGTCTATTGGGTTGTAGTCTCAATAAAGCATTTAAAGATAATTTAAACATAAAGCATTTAAAGATAATTTAAACACTTTAACATGGCTTAAGATGGCATGAACTAACTCAGTCTTTTGAGATGTGGGTAAGTGGTTACTTAGCATGGACCCAACCCAAGTCTACAGCAGAAGTCCCCCCTTTAGGAGCATATCTTATACATTTCACCATCATTATACTAGGATTTTACTTTGTGAATCATGGAACCATACTAACTGTTTTCCAAAGAATCAGCACCATTGGTCACATGACTCACATGTCCCATTTCAAAACATCTGTTCGTGTGTGTTTCACTTGAAGGTTGGGCTATAAAAGGTTGGGCTATAAAAGAGATGAGGTATATTGAATTAGATAAACATGAGATGTTTAGTTGTGACATTGTCATACAAGAGAACAATCTGATATCTGCGTTGCTATACATGACTCTATAAGAGGATTATGGATACATCTTCTTTTTTCTTTTTTTCTCCCCTTTCCGTCATCACCACTTTTATTCTCTACTCAAGATAAACAGCTTGATAAGACTCTCTTTGAAAGTAAAAGGATGGGAAGCAGAACCTTTTATTCCACTTAAATGCATCTGTCAAGAATATAAAGCATGTGAAATTATTCCTATCCATAAATCTATTGATACCCGAGCCTCCTATTATTAGAACAACAAAGGTGCAAAAATATGCAAATGTGAGAATTGACTAGTTAATACTTGAACCTCACATTCTTAATGTTGGGGATTCGAAACAATCAATCGAACCCTTGCCCTTCCGGACCTTGTGTTGAAAGTAGGAAAGTAGGAATAAAACCACAAATAAAGATCTAACTTGCAAAAACAGTAAGGGAGATGAACACACAGATTTAACGAGGTTCGGCAACGTGCCTACGTCCTCGGGAGCCACACAACACAATTTTTTTATTAATTGAAGAAGAAAATACAAGCTCTTAAACAAGAGGTTAATCTCTCTGAGACTCTCTCTCTCTTTGCAGTCAAAAAGCTCTCTTTTTGATGTAGTACAAACCCTAAAATCGTTTGGGGTATATATAGAATCCTGGTTGAAACAGATTCCTAAACAGAACAGGAAACTGCCAAAACTACGTCCGGTCGACCGGCCCGGTCGACCGATCAGATTCCAGAGAGTTTGGCGGTCGACCGGCGCGGTCGACCGATGCAAAACCCGAGAGCAGTTTTCTCCTACAGGGTTTGGCGGTCGACCCTGTGCACGTTTGCGGTCGACCGACCCGGTCGACCGCCGATCTGTCTGCGTGTTTTTCTGAGCTTTTGATTCCAGCGTTCATCTCGAACTTTGGGTCTACACCTTAGACTAACAATCTCCCACTTGGAGACCAAAGTGCCTGCAATGAGTTCCCCCGAACTCTCCCCTTCTTCGTATGTATTTTTTCCCCCGAAAAAGTTCTTCTTTCAATCAACAAAATCCCGGCGATCTCGCCGATCCTCATAGTGTGGCTCCGCCTTCGTCTTCTACTCGTGAAGGCCAACTGAAGTTGCGCACAACTCCAGTTTCTCAATGGTGACTGCCTTCGTCAACATGTCCGCCGGATTTTGACTCCCCAAAATCTTCATTAAATGCAACTTTCCGTCCTCGATCAGCGAGCGTATAAAATGGTATTTGACGTCGATGTGCTTTGTTCTGGCATGATATACTGGATTCTTGGCAAGATGTATAGCGCTCTGGCTATCACAATAAAGAACTCCTCTCCCTTGCTTCAGATCCAACTCTTCCAAGCACCCGTTCAACCAGATCATCTCCTTGCTTGCTTCAGTCACCGCGACATACTCAGCCTCGGTTGTAGACAAAGTCACAATCTTCTGCAGACGTGAGACCCAGCTCACTGCTGTCGACGCTAAGGTATAAACATACCCCGTGGTGCTTCGCCTCGTATCATGATCACCGGCGAAGTCCGCATCCACGTATCCCTGCAGCACCAACTCCTTCCTCCTGAAACATAGTGGCTTGTTCGTTGTTCCCCTCAAGTACCGCATTATCCACTTCACGGCCTCCCAATGCTGCTTTCCTGGGTTGCTTGCAAATCTGCTCACAACTCCTACTGCATGAGTGATGTCCGACCTCGTGCAAACCATCGCGTACATGAGACTCCCAATGGCTGAAGAATATGGCACCCTGCTCATATGCTCTCTATCTGCATCTGTCTTAGACGATTGCTCCTCAGATAACTTAAAGTGACTTCCAAGGGGCGTGCTAACAACTTTAGCATCCTGCATATTGAACCTCTGAAGTACCTTCTTAATGTATTCAGCTTGGCTCAATCTCAATGCTTCGCTGCACCCAGATCCTTCATTGCAAATTCCTTTGCTAGCTGCCTCTTCAAACTGTTTATCTCTTCTAAACACGGTCCTGCTACCAACATGTCATCAACATATAATAACAAAATAATGAAGCTGGACTCGAACCTTTTGAAATAATAGCAAAGATCCGAATTGCATCTTCTATAGCCATTGTTCTGCATAAAGTTATCAAACTTCTTATACCACTGTCTCGGAACCTGTTTCAAACCATATAAGCTCTTCTTGAGCTTGCACACCATCACTTCCTTTCCTTCTTCAATGAAGCCAACAGGCTGCTTCATGTAGATTTCTTCATTCAAGTCACCATGAAGAAAGGCAGTCTTCACATCTAACTGCTCAAGGAAGAGGTCTTCTGCAGCTACCAAACTCAACACCACTCTGATGGTTGTGAGTTTCACAACAGGAAAAAATATCTCCGTGTAGTCCACTCCTTCCCGCTGTTGAAACCCTTTCACTACTAATCTGGCCTTGAATCTCTTGCTTCCATCACTCTCCTGCTTGACCCGGTAGACCCATTTATTGTGCAAGGCTTTCTTCTGTGCAGGTAGCTGGGCTAACTCCCATGTCTCATTAGTGAGTAGAGAATCCATCTCCTCCTGCATCGCATGCTCCCACTGCTGAGATTCACTCACTTGCACTGCCTCTTCATAACACTCCGGCTCTCCGCTATCTGTTAAGAGTAGATAATCAAGTGACGAGAGGTATTTGGGATTTGGTTTGGGTACCCTAGATGACCTCCTAGGCTCCACGTCCTGGGTAGTAGCTTCTGCACCTGTAGTCTTCTCCGTTCTACGGTCAGCACTGACATCGTCACCCCCATCTGGAAGTTCCTCCAAATCCATGTACTCGGATCCACCTGTATCCGTAGTGCTGCTCCCACTGCTTTGGCTATCCTTGGCATTATCCCTGTCCTTGTACATCACCTCCTCATTGAATATCACATCCCGGCTCCTGATGATCTTCATGTTCTTCTCATCCCAAAGGCGATACCCGAACTCATCAATGTCGTATCCAATGAATGTGCACTTCTGTGACTTAGCTTCTAGCTTGTCCCTGACATGGTCACTGATATGAACATAAGCCACGCAACCAAATACCCGCAAGTGTGAGAGATTTATCTTCTTTCCACTCCAAACCTCCTCTGGAATCCCAAAATCTAATGGAACTGATGGCCCGTGATTAATAAGGTATGCTGCCGTATGCACCGCATCCGCCCAAAATGTCTTAGGCAGACCTGCATGTAATCGCATGCTCCGCGCACGCTCTGTCAAGGTCCTGTTCATCCTCTCTGCAATGCCGTTCTGCTGCGACGTCCCTAGAGTAGTCCTCTCTAACCGAATACCGTTCGTAGCACAGAACATCTTGAACTCCTCCAGCTCGTATTCTCTATCATTGTTCGATCTTAGACACTTCACCTTCAGATCTGTCTCGTTCTCCGTCGATGAAGGTGACGTAGTATCTCGAACCGCCAAAAGAAGACACACTGGTTGGGCTCCATACATCTGTATGAATCAACTCTAGCTTCTGAGCCTTAGGTGGCCTTCCACCCTTCTGGAAACTAACTCTCTTCTGCTTCCCAAAGATGCAGTCTTCACAAACCCCGACTTCCACGGTGTCGATCCCGATTAGTTTTCCTTGTGAATGTAGAATTTGCATCCCCTTCTCACTCATGTACCCAGCCTATTGTGCCACAGATCTGTACTCTCCTTGCCAGCTGCAATTGCGAGGGTGTCACTCGCATGTGAAGTGAGGTAGAGAGTTCCCGTTTTATTGCCTCGGGCAACAACCATCGTACCGTTGGAGATCCTCCACGAATCCCCGGTGAATGTCGAAACGTAGCCTTCTGCTCCAAGCTGTCCCACCGAAACAAGATTCCTCTTCAGCTTCGGCACGTGTCTCACGTTCTTCAAATTCCACTTAGAGTCCTTTATCTGTATCTGAACGTCGCCATTTCCAACAATATTACAAGGTTCATTATCCCCCAAATATACTTTACCAAAGTCCCCTGCTACATAGTTCTGAAGTAGTTTTCTATTTGCAGTGGCGTGGAAAGAAGCTCCTGAATCGATGACTCAAGAATCAGAATCGCTATCCATAGCAAGGATCAAGGCATCCTGCACGATATGAGCCTCCTGCTCACCTGTATCCTTCTTTGGTGCTTTACAGACCGAAGACATATGGCCCTCCTGGCCGCAGTTCCAACACTTTTCTTTGATAGACCTAACCTTCGAGTTCGGCCTCTTCTTCACTGATTTCGACCGATTCCTGTTCTGGTTCCCTTTCTTCTGGCTTCTGCCTCTCTGCTCGAAACTTAGGGCTGAACCTGAACCTTCTGATTCGGACGATTTCCTTCTAACCTCCTCGGATAGAATCATGCTAACAACCTCATTCAGCTTCAACTTCTCTTTCCCCGCCAAATTGTTGATTGCTGTCACACAACCTGCCCAACTATCCGGCAACTGCGATAGTAGTAGAAGGGCCTGCACTTCGTCATCGAACGTGATGTCCACGGAGATAAGTTGATCAACTATCGTGTTGAACTCGCTGAGGTGCATCGTGAAGGACCGTCCTTCTGCCATCTTGAGGTTGAAAAGAGTTTTGACTAGATGCACCTTGTTTGCTGCCGACGGTTGCTCGTACATCTTCGCGAGCGCTTCCATAAGCCCCACCGTCGTCTTCTCCTTCAGAATATTGTAGGCTACTGATTTGGCGAGCGACAACCGGATTTGCCCTAGGGCCTTCCTATCCAGTACCTCCCAATCACCATCTGACTCTTCTTTCTTCTTTCCCTTTTCCTTGCCCAACAGCGGGCGATACAAGTCCTTCTGGTACAGATAGTCCTCCATCTGCGACTTCCAGTAGGCGAAATCCGATCCATCGAACTTCTCAATCTTTGATTTGCTTTCCTCTGCCATGGCTTTCACACAAATTGCTGAACGAAGTTCTGATACCAGTTGTTGGGGATTCGAAACAATCAATCGAACCCTTGCCCTTCCGGACCTTGTGTTGAAAGTAGGAAAGTAGGAATAAACCACAAATAAAGATCTAACCTTGTAAAAAACAGTAAAAGAGACGAACACACAGATTTAACGAGGTTCGGCAACGTGCCTACGTCCTCGGGAGCCACACCACACAATCTTTCTATTAATTGAAGAAGAAAATACAAGCTCTCAAACAAGGGGTAAATCTCTCTGAGATTCTCTCTCTCTTTGCAGTCAAAAAGCTCTCCTTTTTGCGACCTGATCCAAGCCCTCCTTTGCTCCTGTGCACGTTTGCGGTCGACCGACCCGGTCGACCGCCGATCTGTCTGCGTGTTTTTCTGAGCTTTTGATTCCAGCGTTCATCTCGAACTTTGGGTCTACACCTTAGACTAACACTTAAGTCGTTGGATTGAACACTGGAGCAACCCTACTTCTCACTCTACCACTCTCAACTAACTCAACATATTCTTGGTTTCACATTTCATTTCCAACATTTATACAAGAATACAAACGACCATGTAATTCTTTGACAATGTTTATATATAAAAAAGAATAAACAGTTTTAGCAAAAGTAAAGAGCAAAGAAGCTTGTGAGGACAAGAAATCAAGCAAACACACAGTATTTCAACTAGTAACATTGTATTACATTTTAAGGATTGACTACGAGAAGATAAACAGAGCAGGGAAGTGAATAAGAAATAATTCTTCAAATTTTGACTCACTTAAGTCCATCTCTGTAGACATCATGTTCTGCTCGCTAGGTTCTTTCTTCTTAGCATGGAAGCATGGGCAAACTATAGCACAACACAAAAGGAAAACTCCTGGTATTGCCAGAGCCATTTTTGCCGGTGTCAAAGTCTTCTTTTCCTTTTGATCCTTTCTATTTAACTGATAAGAGTCGGAGGTATTTGCTGATTGATGCAATAGCTTTCTACCTGTTATTTGAAAGGAAAAAAAATCCACTAAAACATATAGGAGGAGAGAAGGAAAAGGACTATTTAGAATTTAGATTATCGTGTTGTTATATATTACACCGATAATAACAACAGAAACTAACACAAAATCAAGCAAAGAGTAAAAAATTGCAGGGTGACAGCAATTTTTTACTTTACAATTCAATCCAGCAAAAGGAAGCTGTTTTTTATGCCACTGCCCTTTTTCATCCCTGAAGATGGTGATATAAATTCATCTATAAGTACAGATTATCAAGTATGGGACCAAAAAATTACAGAGAGCAAACCTTAAGCTACGGTATATCCTACAGCATCAAATCTGAAATTTTGCACAAAATACGAAAAATTTTGATTTCACTTATATTAGTGTACGTGTTCACTTGTTTTCAATAAAACCTGTTCAGTTAGCAACAGTACGAGAACATGAATTAATAGCAGCAACACTTATCAGGAGCCCTTGGTTAATCAACTAACTTAACGCTATATACAGATAGAGAACTGTACCATACGACCTCAGGCTAAAAAATTTCTCAAATTTGAAGTTTATCGCATAATATGAAAAATAACTGATTACACAAATTTCAATGCTACTTGATCATTTAAACTCATCATCCATCACCAGCAGATGTTAGAAGTAAATAGTGACCCAGTTGATGAAAATTACCAGAAATTGCGCTTGGCTGACGGCTAAGATCTCCATCGCAGTATTTTTCCCCAATCCTTCCCCATTCTTCATCAACAAACAGACAACCATTCCCAAAATAGAAATCCAAGACCTCACAAATCAGAACTTCGTCTTCTACCCTCTTCTCATTGACAAACAGCAAGTACCCATCTGATGATTTCACATACCCAACTCGATCCAATCCGCAAACCCTCGAATGGGTCTCAGCTGAAGCCGAAGATTGAATCACAAAGAAGAGAGCCAATAGAATGAGAGCCATCAGTAGGCCAATTGAGCGTACAAAACCCTCCAAGATCCCATTTTGAGCTCGAATCCGAGCTCTAGAGGTCGGGTTGAACGAACCCACCTTAAAGGAGAAAGTTTAAGATTGGGAGAAATGGGGAATTATTGGAAATTTTTATTTGCTAGGGTTTTGTTTACACCGAATTAGTACAGAGACAGAAAGGTGGAGATGTAACAAGATTCTTTGGGTTGGGTTGACCGGTATACCGGCGGCTGACTGGTACGGTTCGCGGTAAAAATAGAGCACTAAAACTGAGCATGAAATTTTTGACCGTTGACAAAAAGCCTGGTCTGGTCGTTCCGGTCACCCGCGATGAGCAAGCAGCTCACGACGTATAACAGCAAACAGTCAACTCCATAAATAACTTGTAGTAGCTCTGTTTAGAACAGCAAACAGACAGGTTAGCAAATAAACTATTTCCACGTCAACATTGAGTCGTTCCATCCTCCTAAGGACAACGCAAATCTACAATTTTAGACAAGTTAAATAATGAATTTTTTTTATTAACAAAAATCACACAGATGAATAAGGAAAGCTACTTTATCCTGTTTCATGATTATTTATATTTTTCAAAGATAGGGATAATTCAAATAGAGTCTAAGGGTATGTTTGTCAAAATATCAAAAACTAGGCTAGAATTAGTCATGACTCGGTTTCATTCTAAACTGGTTTTACTTGCGAACTAAAATAAATTTAGAAGGTTTTTTGACTTACAAAATTTAGACCTACAAAATTTAGACCAACATTTTTTGCCAAATAAATTGACACCTAAAATTAAGTCAGGTTTAGTATTAACCTATTTTGGAGGTTTATGGAACACTCCCTAAAATGATGAAACCTCATGGCATAAGATTTCGGTTTATTCCTTAACCATTATTTAATTATGCATTTTTAGTAATGTGAAACGTTACAAGCATTGTAATATTACTAATGATATTTTGTTCATTTGTTTGCCTTTACAATAAGTTACTGGTTGGTCTGTACCGAGCTCTTTAATTAGAGTTCCAAAATAATAGGTAGAACAATTTTTCAAAACAGCCCCTTTTAAATTTTAATTTTTTAAAATCGACCCTGTTTTTTTTTTATTTACCAAAACCGATCCGTTTTTTTTATTAGCAGCTTAATCATATTCCTAAATAGTCGGGGTTGTCAACCCCGACTATTTAGGAGGGTGTTAAACCCTAATTAGAAGCCTTAAACCATATAAATTTAAGTCCTAAATAGTCGGGGTTGGCAACCCCGACTATTTAGGAATGTGATTAGGCTGCTAATCAAAAAAAAAGTGCCGGTTTTGATAAATAAAAAAAACAGGGTTGATTTTGAAAAATAAAAATTTGAAAGCGTCTGTTTTGAAAAATTGTTCTAATAGGTAACATTCAGACGCATGTAGTTCTCTTTTTATTGAATAAATATTGGTAAGACATACATCAAATAACTATAAAAAATGCTATTAGGCTCTGTTTGGCAAAACTAGCTGAAAGCTGCGAGATTATAATTGAAAGTTGTTAAGCTAGCTGAAAGCTGTAAAATTGTAGCTGAAAGTTGTTAGCTGTGTAGCTAGCTGATTGACTAGAGCTGTTTGGCAAAAGTAGCTGTACAACTAGCTTAAATTTGTTAAATGACTATAAAGGACATGCAATATTATTGATATAAAATTAGAATTATTAGGGGTAAAAACGGAAGAAGAAAATTGGCAGCTCATTCCCAAAGACAAACGCTAGCTTTTCAAAAGCTACTTGCAAAATACACAATCTCCTAAATAATCTCCTCATATTTTTGGTCACCAAACAGCTCTACTAGCTTATTGACCAAGTCAATAAGACACAAGCTCTTAGATAAGACACTTTTTTTGGTTGCCAAACAGTGCCTTAATCGTTGTCTTCACCTGCGCATTCACTGTTTAACTAAAGCATCGGTGGTAAATTCAAGAATCTCCCAGAGTTTCTTAATATATCATGCTCCTCTTATAAGCACGAATTTTGGAAACAACTTTTCATGATCAATATTAACATTCGTTATTTTGAATATTTTATTTAAATTTTAATCTATCCTAATCATAATTATATCATATTCTAATACCCTAATATCCTATGAACTACCCATAGCTCAACAATTTAAAAAATAAGATTAATAAAATATATGAAACAACTCCACGACATTAGCTTGTTAAGGTAAACTAATCATCTATTTTGAATATTTTATTTAAATCTTAATCTATCTCAATCATAATTATATCGTATCCTAGTATATTTTAAACTACCTACAGGTCAACAATTAAAAAAATAAGATTAATAAAATATATGAAACAGCTCTACTGTATTAGTTTGTTAAGGTAAATAATCATCTATTTTGAATATTTTTTATTAAATCTTAATCTATCATAATCATAATTATATCCTATCCTAATACCCTGTGAACTACCTATAACTCAACAATTAAAAAAAAGATTAATAAAATATATAAAACAACTCCACGGTATTAGTTTGTTAAGGTAAAGTAATCATACGTAGTTAACATACTATAATACATGAAGTATTATAAAACAAAAGGTAAAAAAGTTTAAAAAATTGGGCAAGATGTCCTCAAAAGTTTAAAATTACACAAAATATCTTAATATTTCAAAACTTAAAATAACAAACATAAAATCTGAAAATTAATAGCAACCTCCGAAGAATTTAAAATTTATAAAAAACCATCCTCAATATTTCTAGAATTATAGAAATACCCTCAAAAGTTTAAATTATAAAAAAACATACTCAAAATTTAAAATTTGTAAAAAATAACCTCAAAGTTATAAATATTAGAAAAAACTCCCTAAATAGTTAAAAATCACAAAAAAAACTTAAAATTTTAAAACTTATAAGCAATACACATAAGATCTGGAAATTATCAGTAGACCACAAAAAATTTAAATTTTATAAAAAACAACCCAATGCTTGAATAATTGCAAAAAAGACCTCAAAATTTCAGAGTTTTGAGAAATATCTTGACATTTGTAAGCATACCACCAACATACAAAAGAAAAAAATTACAAGCACCTAACTTAAAATTTAATTTTTTTTTTTTAAATGCTCACCAAGTTTTAAAAATTGCGAAACACACATTCAAAAGTTGAAAATCACAAAAATAAGCTTAAATTTCAAAACTTATGAAAGAAAAGAGTAATTATTTGATATTCCTTAACTAAGATATATAAATATAACTTTTAATTTATGATTTACTATCCCTTTTCAGAATCTAAAAGCTATCTAAGTTGATGCTAGTAAAAACTAACGATAATAATTGATTAAAAATACCAAGTTAAGAGATAAAAATTTTTAAAAATATATGATAGATTAAAACTTAGTGTCAATATATAAATTAAAGTAACTACATATAATTTTTATTAACAAGTTGGAGCATCAAAAATACATGAGTACCATTAATTGATTGAAGACTAAAACACATAAATTTGATAAAAGACTATGATATAATAGCTTAGCATACTATAATTTAAAAACATTAATTTTTGATGTTAATAGTATTTATAGGGTAAAAATACAAAGATTCATCTACGGAGAAACTATCAAAAAGTTCAGAGACATCCTTTAAAAGAATAAAGTTGTTTATATTTCAAATGGAAAAATGAAGGAAATAAACCAAATTCGGAAACGCCCATTAATCACTTCAATTTCTATTTATAAAGCATATGTATCAAAGAAGGACCAACTAAGTTTCCCTTGAAGAACGTATGGAATTTGTCCTAATTAAAAATATTTTTTATGGAAAATACAAGAAAAATTAGTGTGTCATTACTCTACATAAGCAAAACATATAAATTACATTTCCCCCTTTTTCCTATACAATATCATGACCCTGCATGCACTTTATTTAGGGATATGACTAATAATGAAGGATCAATTCTTAAAGACACGGTCAAAGATAATGATGTAATAGCACAATTAGATTTGAAGATTTCTAAATATAAAGGTAATACATCTTAGTACTAAAAGTTTTATTAAAGACCGTTAAATATAAATTCACCTTATATCTATCTTAAATTTATAAAGGACATATGCATGTCATTGTAACATACATCGATAATATATATTAACCCAAAGATACAACTTACTGAATAAATAAGGGAATAGTAGGTAAACTAAGAAAATATCCATATAACAAGATAAAAAATATTATATTTTAAAGCTAATATATAGAGCTCATTCAGAACAAGCTACTGAGACGAAAACATCTCTATTAAAGCTCTTTAAAAATATAACAGAAATTCAAATTACTAATATATGCAACCATCACAATATTTGTAAGAGATATGATCTTAGAAAATATACTCTAAAATTTATACAATTAAATCTAATAATAATTTACTAATATACAGACGCACTATTGCACCTTTAAGGTAAAAATAACTATCATTTACAATAGAATTGAGCCGTGATTCTATGCTTGCAAAGGCTACAACAAGAAGACGGACAGATGTGCTAATAATGAGTGTTCAAATAATAAATATTACCGATAATGTAGTACCAATGCTAAATAATATCCCTTCTTCATGAAATAAACATGTTAAAATTAAACATTAACATTATAATCTAAAGCAAATTAACAATAAAAAAATGTAGGCATTTAATTCAAATTCTCATGGAAAATGGCACAGACAGAGCAAATGTAACATTATTGATACAGTAGAAATTCTTATTCGATGTACAGCCAAAAAAATTCATTGTAGAGAAAAAATATGCAACTCCTAACCTTATTTAAGCAATAAATTCAAAGCATAAAAAATTTCTTATATATGAAATAACATTTGTTCTCATTGAAATAAAAAAAAATCAAAGTCTATATTTTTAGAAATTTGTGTTTAACATCAAAAATAAACCCAACATCTTTGTGAAGTTAGATGGGAAGATAAAAGATAAATAAGCTCATAGAAAGATAACGACACAAAAAATCCAGCTACAGCTTGATGTCATGATCGATGTAGACGATGAACACACTACTCTAGAATTATCGAGAAAAAAAAGATAAAGATGAAGAATAATTAATCTTGACTCAATAAAAAAATAAAATAAAAGGAATAAAAGACAATGCTTTCTAAATTATTATAGAATAATTTTATTTTATTTGAGTAAAATTAGAAATCTTTATAAGGGATTTTCATAAATCTTACTTTTATATACTTATATATGTGGGTACTTTTATCATATAAAAGTGTATTAGAGTTATGATTAATCTTTAGTTTATGATTTATTACAAACTATTTTCTGTTATTTTAGGCCACTTTAAATCAATCATCTTGGTTTATTGGGTTTATAATTCATTTTTTTTTATAATGCTACTAGGTTTTGGTTTTATACACGTGCAATGCACGTGGTTAAACACCATGATTAAGTATTTTTGGCTTATTTTCTAAGTAAACTTTGTTTCTCAATTCCACTTTAATAGTTTGTGCTCACTTTTATCTCTAAACTTTAATATTATGATTATTTATCTTCTTTAATATTTGTTTAAATGAGCTACATCTAAATTAAATTTTCATGTTTATATTTGAATTGACAAAAAAAATATATATATAATTTGAATCTAATTTAAATTTTCATATTATTTTGATTAACATGAAACCAAGCTTTACTTGAGAAAGTATAGTGTTGCAAAAAAATATTAAAATAGCGTTATACAAGAAAGGTGAATATTTAAAACCAATAAAGCAAAATGATTATTAAAAGTATTCTAAAATGATACAAAAGAGAATATAACTTTTGTTCCTAATTATTGATAGGCTTTATAAAAACTTATAAACTAAAGATTAATGCTAACTCTAGTACACTTTTATATGATAAAAGCATCCACATAAGCATAAGTACCGAAAAAAATTCATGAAACTCCATTCTAAAGATTCCTAATTTTACTCAAAATAATTAAACTATTCTATAAAATATTCAGAAAATATTGTCTTTTATTCTTTTTATTTTATTTTATTTATTAAGCTAAGATCAATCATTCTTCATCTTTATCTTTTTTCCGGATAATTCTAGAGTAGTGTCTTCAACATCTACATCAATTGTGATATTAGGCTAGAGTTACATTTTTTATGCAGTTATCTTTCTTGGGCTTGTTAATCTTCTATCTTCTTGTTTAACTTCACAAAAAGTTAAATGTGTTTTCTATGTTCAACACAAACTTCTTGAAATACAGACTTAGATTTTTTTTAATTTCAATGAGAATAAATATTAATTTCATATATATAAAATTCTTTATATTCCTAATTTATTACTTACATCAGTTTAGGAACTACCTCGTATTTTTTCTACAATGAATTCTTCTGATATGCATCCAACAAGAGTTTCTGTATGGCAATAATATTATTTTTGCTTTATCCTTGTCATTTTCTATAAAGATCTAAACTAAATACCTGTATTTTTCATTGCAAATTTGCCAACTGAATACATACTAATTTTTTTATATCTTTCATGGAGAATTCTTCTTTGATTAGGATAAAAATTATTAAATTATTCTTTAATGTAACTCGGTTGGTACTTCTTTAATAGACATGTATTATGTTAATGACAATTCAAACGATCCATGGACATTTTTCTAAAATTTTGATTTATTTCCATCACTTTCCCATTTGCAATGAAAATAGCTTATTTCTTTTGAAGGATATCTCTGAACATTCTGATAGTTTCTCCATATGTAATTCCATGTATTCTTTTAGTTTATAAATATTATTAACATTAGAGATTAATGTTTCTAAATTATAATCAAATAATGCTAAGCTATTATATTATAATCTTGCATTATTTTTATGGATTTAAACATCTATCAATTAATGTTATTAATGTATTTTTGCTGCTCCAACTTATTAGTAAAATTATACGCAGTTACTTTAATTTAAATAGTGATGATAATTTTTAAGCTATATTATTTTTCAAATTTTTATTTTTTAACCGGATGTTTTTAATCAATTCTTATTGTTTTTGTTTACCAGTATCAACTTAGACTATTTTTAGATGCCGAAAAAAGGATAGTAAACCCTAAATTAGAAATTACACACACACACACACGTACACACACACACACAAAACACAAACCCCAAACAATTATACTTTTCTTTGTCAAATTTTAAAAATTTAGCCGTTTTTTGTGGTTTTAAACTTTGAGGGTGTGATTTGTAATTTTTTAAACTTGTATTTTAAAAAAATTTACTTTTATGTTTGGTAGTTATAACTTCTATATTTTATGTGCCGATGATAATTTTTAAATATCAAAATATTTCTTTCAACTCTGAAATTTTGAGAGTGTTTTTTACAATTATTAAAACTGTAGATTAATTTAAAAAAAATTAAAATTTCAGTTATCTACCAATAGTTTTTAGATTTTATGTGCATTAGTTATAAATTTTAAATTTAGAGTTTTTTAATTTTTAAATTTTGAAGGAGTTTTTTTTAATTTTTATAACTTTAAGATTAATTTCAGCAAATTTTAAATTTTTAGGTGTCTAAGGGTAATCTCTTAAATTCATCTTTTTTGTTTGCAAATTTTAAAATTTTAGGGTATTTTTTATAATTTAAACTTTTGATGTTGTTTCTAAAAATTTGAAGACATTGAGTGTGTTAATTGGAATTTTTAAATTTTTCGGAAGCGGCTGTTAATTTCTTGATTTCATGCTTGTTGTTTTAAGTTTTGAAATGTCAGAAATTTTCAGGTGCATCATGAAAATCCATTGAATTCATCTATATCATAAAGATGATTTATATATTTTATTAATATTATTTTTTTAATTATTAAGCTATAGATAGTTCACTTAGGATTAGGATATGATATAATTATGATTAAGATAGATTAAGATATAAATAAAATATTCAAAATAGTGAATGGTAATATTGACCATTCAAATTGATTTCATATTTGTAGTTTTAAGTTTTAAAATATCAGGTTTTTTTAGGTGCATCATGGTAATTCATTGAATTCATTTATGTTGTTTTTAAGTTTTAAAATTTTAGAATTTCAGGGTGCTTGTTTGTAATTTAAACGTTTGAGGTTGTTTCTATAATTTTTGAGGCATTAACGTGTTAATTGTAAATTTTAAATTTTTCAAAAAATGTTGTTAGTTTCTTGATTTCATGTTTGTTGTTTTATGTTTTGAGATGTCGGGATGGTTTTTATAATTTTGTACTTTTCAGAGTATTTTGTGCAATTTTAAAACTTTTTAGGTTTTTTTTGTAATACTGCATATATTAAGTATGTTAGCTATGTATAATTTCTTTTTCTTAACAAACTAATACAATAAAGATGCTTTATATATTTTATTAATATTATTTTTATAAATTGTTAAGCACGTAGGATTAGGATAGAATATAATTATGATTAAGATAGATTAAGATATAAATAAAATATTTAAAATAGCAAGGGGTAATATTGACCATAGAAAGATTTTTCCGAACTCGTGTTTTTAAATAGAGTAAGTATAAGTATAAGTATATATACTTTTAAATTGGCTTCGAATTACATTTGTTTCCTTACAATTCAATTATCGACATGAAAACTTAAATTGGGTGTAGCCTATTCAAACAAATATCAAAGAAATTTAAATAATCACAATACTAAAGTTTAGGCACATAAGTGAGAAAAAATTATCAAAATATAACCGGGAAATAAATTTCCGTGTTATGGTGTTTTCAGTCGCCAAAGTATGACATTTTGCCAGCAACAGACAGGTGTCCCCCTACATGCACCACTCAAGTCGAATTGACGGTCATGACCACCAAGAATCCCGACTTAGCCGACTCGCCGAGTTGACATATCCTTAGGTCAACTCGAAGGGCGGTGCTTGTCGATCCTCTTGTCGAAGACAACTCGTAACGAGCTCACTCGACCAGTTATTTGACATATCGCGGGGTCGACTCGAAAGGCGTCACTTCTCGACACCCATCGCTACGAGCCAAAGGACGACTTCAACCTCAAACACCCCACGCTGACAGCGCATCAGCGTCACATTAAATGATTGGTAGGTGCTATCATTTCTCCATTCCCGATACTATTTATGACACATCGGACCACGTGGCTTCATGCGTCGGCCATCGTATCTCATTAATGGTGAAATGATAGTGCCCATCCCGTAGCCGATCCACGACTGACACCTATAAAGTAGAGGTTGACTCAGCCGCCAGCTCAGTCTCGATCAAAAGGACTAGGCTACCCCCTCTTGCTTGGCTATAAACAGGATCTATTCCAAAAACAAGGTTAAGCAATTTTCTCAACATTTTTCTCCATTCCGTTGCATTTTTCTCATATTCCCACTCAAGCACTTAGCCGGCTTGATCTTCGGAGGAACAACGGGGGAAGCAGTTCCCGTCCTCTTACGAGTTGTTACACGTGCAAGGACGAACAACCAAACTCCAAATCAGATATTCAAAAAAGTAAGCGACCCCATACCAACACAGTCTCTATTAGAGCATCTCCAACAGCTTCCCCAAAAAATTCTCCAAAAATGGGGAATCAAATGTCATATTCTCCAAATTATTTTTGCTCCAACTTCAACAACTTCCCCATTTTGAAGAATCATGCATTTATTACAATAATAAAAATATTCTACATCTTTGACTAATAAATAATAAATTATTTATTATTTTGAAGAATCCCCATTTTGACCAAATTATTTATTATTATAATGAGGAGATGGAGTTGTTTTTTGTGGGTTGAGATGGGGAAGCTGTTGGAGATGCTCTTACATTCTGACCGTGTGATTTAATTTATTTAAACCATCAACATTCAGTAAGAAAATAAACCAAAAATATTTAATCATGATATTTAACCACGTACATTGCACTTACATAAAATCTAGTAATAATCAATTAAGCGCTTGCCAGAAATTTTAAAATCTCCGCGCAGATTAATTAATTAATTAAGGATTTAATAGCAAAATTCAAACGTGAGCAGTATAAGAAATGGAAATAACGCCCTAATATCGTAAAGCCCAGTAACTTCAGTTTACTACGATGGACCACGGGCTTGACCCAAAAATCCATACAAGGCCTACTTTACCCTATAAAGCAAGGCCCAAAGGTCTTCCTCTTTCTTGCGCAAGGGGCATCTCACTCCCGATTAATTTTCTTACCTCTGTGTTCCTTTCGAGCTCTAGGGTTAGGGTTTGTCATTTCGATTCGCTGCTCTCTGTCTCTATCGAAAAAATCGAGCGATGGATCTCAATATCAACGCCCCTCACTCCATGGGGACGACGATCATCGGAGTCACCTACGACGGCGGCGTCGTCCTGGGTGCCGATTCGAGAACGAGCACAGGTTCGATCTCTGCATCAAAACTTGATCTGCATTGATGATTTATTTGTTAGTCCTAGATTTTTGTCAGGGTTTATTATTTGGACGGGGTCGATCTGTGAATATTTAGAGGGCCGAAGCTCCAATTAGATATCATTCCCCTTCGATCTTTCTAGGTTAAAGGCTAGGGTAGAAATCAGGTTAAATTTCACTCGATAGGGATCTAAATCTGACTTGCGCAATAATTCTAGCCAATTAGGTTAGATTGAATGAGGCTTCACTTTTCTGTGTCAATGAAGTGTGCGAAATTGACTACTTTTGGGAATTTAGAAGGGTGAAAATATTTGAAAATGCTGTGAACGCTTTGTTAGTAATCGTATGTTATGAAATACAAAGCATTGTTTACATTGTAATATGTGTTGTGTTTGAATTTTAGGCATGTACGTTGCAAACCGAGCCTCCGACAAAATTACAGGGCTTACTGACAATGTTTACGTTTGCCGATCTGGATCGGTAATGATTTTCTTTCAAGCTCCTTATTTTTGTTTCTAGCACTTTGACTGTAATTTAGAGCAACATTCATCTAAGACAACTTCGGGATCATATTGGTCAAATATAGAAAACTGTAATGCTTGAATATTTCTATATACACAGTCATTGTGGTAAAGTTTGCGCGTGGCTGGTTGCATTTTTTATTTTTTTGGTTCAATCTTGATCGGTTTGTTTGTCAAATTTTATGTCAGCTATCATTTTTTAAGAAAATGAATGGATTTCATGTCCTAGTTCTTGGTGGGATTTTTAAGATAGATCTTGCTGTAAATATGGACGTAAAGTAATTGATGAGTTTAGAGGCCTTTCATGAGCGTTAAAGGCTGATAAAGGATCATCATACAAAACACAAACACCTTGTACATACCAATTGATTTATCAACTAATTTATATGAAGATAGGGTGCCAATAGTAATTATTACTGATTGTTGACTAAGTTTATATGAAGAAAATGAATACATTCCATGTCCTAATTCTTGGTGAGATTTGTAAGATAGATCCTGCTGTAAATATGGACGTAAAGCAATTGATGGGTTTTATGTAGGCTTTTCATAAGCATTGAAGGCTGACAAAGGACCATCGTACAGTACACAAACACTTTATACACATCATATTGATTCATCGACAAGTTTGTAAGATGATAAATGACAATAGTAAATATTACTGATCCATTGACTAAGTTTATCTGAAGAAAACAAATGCATTCATTGTCCTAATTCTTGGTGGGACTTGTAAGTAGATCATGCTGTAAATATGGACACAAAGCGATTGATGGTTTCAGGTAGGCCTTTCATGAGCATTGAAGGCTGACAAAAGACCATCATACAGTACACAAACACCTTATATGTATATGTATGATATTGATCCACCGATCAAGTTTGCCAGTAGTAATTATTACTAATAAAACCTTATTATTCCAATGTAATAGGGCATTTTGGATATTGCTTATATTGAGGTCTCATTTGTGAGTCAACAAGGTTTAAACTAGCCAGCTTTAAGTGAGTCCTAGCATTGGTCTTCTGCTCCTTTGGAACTAGCTTTCCTTTTGATTCATACTGGATTCTCTGCAATTCTTGCTTCCAACCGTCTCTTTTTTAGTTAATGAATTTTAAGATTGTTAAACTAATCTTCTTAGGGGAATCTTGTTCTTTTGATCGGAAATGATTGCATTACCAGAGATTCTATTCATATTGAACGTGAAACATATGCTTTGCAGAATTTACTATGAGATTTAGTACAAGTAATGGCTGCCAGCAATTTCCTTGTCATGTTCTTCTAAAGCTGTGAGACGAAACAACTGTTTTTAGGCATCTTTTTTTTCTCCCACAATTTCCTGCCAGCTACCATGATGTCATCTCATCCTCTGAATCTGTCTATGTTGCTGATTCTGTTCAGAGCCTCTTTTTTACCTCCAACTTGTCTGCAGGACTTTAGTTTCTCTAAGAATAGAGGTACATTGTAGTTGTCCTATTTCTTAGCTGGGCACTTAAGGCGTGCTTTGCTGTAAATATGGACAGAGTAATTGGTGATCTTAAAGTTGGTTTTTTATGAGTTTTGAATGCCAGCAAAGACTAGTCCCACATAAAGCCAATATACACACATGAAGAGAACCATGTGATTTTTACAATCATTTTGAATGTGACTGTTCCCAAAAATTTTAGAACGATTTAAAAAAGATACTTATTGACAATGGCTTTATAAGTTCCTATGCCTCTTGAGACATTTTTACATTGTGGTGCATAGTTCATACTCTTTTGATATACGGAGGTAGCATAAGGCTCATATTTCCCTGTGTCCTAGGGTTGTAGCCTCCGCAAGCAACCTTCTTCAATACTAGTCAGTTCTGCACGTTTCATGCTAGTTTATCTAAAATCTTAATTTTTTTTCCTTTTATGTCATGATTTATATAAACAGCTGATACCATGTAATTCTTATATTTTAAATTACTAATTGTATAACTTTGATGGGTGAGCCTTTGTTGCCTTTCTGACTGTAACTAAAAGTTCAATTCTGATTCACCAAAGTGAATGGTTGGCCTGATAGATGAATTTTAAATATCATTAATGTTGATATATGCGCCTAAAATCTTCTTGCTAATAGATATTTTATTTTTTTGCCCATGTATCTACTTAAACAAATGTAATTCCAAGAGTAGATTAATTAGACAAACAGATGCATGCTAAAATGTCTCATATGCTCAAATAAAATACATGGTGGCCAACTTGATGAATATCGAAACTATTAATGTTGATATGTATCTCATATGCTCAAATAAAATACATGGTGGCCAACTTGATGAATATCGAAACTATTAATGTTGATATGTAAATTATGAAGTTATTAATTATAAAATCGTTTATTTTTAATGCATTTATTTTTTACAATGGTTGTGACATTGGAAATTTTTGTTATGAGCGTAGTTTACCTTCCAGTTTACAAGTTCATTGTCCTTGTTGTAGGCTGCAGATTCCCAAGTGGTCTCTGATTATGTTCGTTATTTCCTCCATCAACACACGTGAGTGACAATTATCCTTCTTGATCTTGGTTTTTACATCTTGTTTCATTCTTTAATACATCCTACAACTGTATTAATGCTATGTATAATTATTCATATTTTAAGCATATCCATACTGTTTTTGGTAACATTTATATTTGTCGCTCACCAATATTAGTCCAAGTCTTGGTTGATAATCCTCAGTTTCTTTGTCAGCAATTTTAGGAGCCTTTTACTAAGTACAGACGTGTAACAACAGTCACTTTTTGATACTTTCTTTTATGACACATGAGAAAAGCACAAGAAGCGCTATTTGTACTATCTTGTTGAATTCATATCTATTATTGTTGTTGTATGAACTTCCATTCATTATTGATCTTATTGTTGGTTGGTAGATTCATCTTGGGAACTTATAACTGATTATATCAAGAATTCAAAAGTTTTTCTTACTCTATTCTTCACTGGCTACTGTTGTTGAGTTCATTATGCTTGAGCTTTATGGACTCCAATTATTATGACATTGATATCATGCTAATGATTGTCTCAAATCCACTTTCTTTGAATTTTTTTTTTTTTTTTGTCGTACATGGTGATAGTTGTACACCATGTCTTTCTAAGTATATTTCGATTTTAAGCACTTTAAAGTTTAACAGACTTCACTTGTTCTATTCCGAAGATATTTTCTGTTATCTACATCCTTTGAAGATGTTATTTCTTTAGTATGCAACACCTTGACCGAACAATATTGCCTTCTTTCTACTGTTCTTACTTTGTCAACTATCTTATGGGAGAAGTTACTCTTGTTGACTTGTTCGGCTATCTAAAGAAATTATTTTAAGGTTATTTTTTATGCTGGTGATTCAGCTACATAACATATGTTCCTTGGAATAAATTCTGGGTAAAACATATCGGACGCTTGGAGAGCACTGTCAAAATGGCAGGAGACTTGATCAAAGTTTCAGCCGCATAGATTTTGACATGGTCAGATATTGAGGGCTGTAAAATGTGAATTAAGTGGTATGAAGATGATCCCTAACAGTTGCTTATCGTGAGTTATTTGTACCAAAATAAATATTTACAATGAAGCTGAAAGTGGGCCCTATGAAACAGCAAATAGCAACAAAGCTTGGTTTTAAACTTTGTGAAAAGAGCGCTCATCTTTACTTTCTCTCGGGATATTCTCTTGAGCTAGTTTAGCTCATGTGCAGTGCAGAACCTGATCCAGTTATATTTTCACTCTTTATTCTGCATATTTTCTCCTTGTCATTATATCTTTAAGACCAAATGTTTAACAGATTGGTTCAATTGCTTCCGCATTAGATGAATCTTCAGTCAATTATGTAGATCTCAAATTCGCTGGTACTGTTCTATCACTTTAATTTGATGAATTTGCCATTTGTTGGGTGCAGAATTCAACTGGGACAGCCAGCAACTGTCAAAGTCGCAGCCAATTTAATTAGATTGTTGTCATACCAGAACAAGGTAATCTCAAGCTTTTCTCTTTGAAAATTGTGTACTTATATATTTTTTCTGAATCTGGATACTGGTAACGGGCAATAATCGTTTCAAAATGTTGATCTTTATGATCATGTAGGTTTGTTTATTTATTTATTAATAATGTAGTGAGGGGTGTTAAGGGATCGCATGCGGCTTTGGATATAATACTTATCATATCCGTATCTGGCTACCAATCACGGATACGGATACGAATGTCTCTGTAAGAAAAACTCAATGTCCATATCTGCTAAAATTGGATATGGATACGGACATACATGCGGATATATGGACATGCATGCGGATGCAAACGGATATGAGAAAACCAAACAATATCTAAAAAAATATAGTTCGTAGTATAGAAGAAAGTTGATTTATATGTTTGTTATATCTGTAAAACTAAGATTATATCTTTTGATCATCAAAATAAGTCTCGAAGTCCATTAATCTAAGATTTTAAACAATTGCAACAGTAGATCAACATATTCGGATATTTCAGACACGGACCTGGATATTTCATTATATAACCATGTCCGTAATCATATCCTATCGGTTATAGAGTTTAGTAACCATATCCGTGTACGGATATTTTTGGCAACCCTAGTACCAAGGCTTCTTAGAGCATAATGTTTGTACTTGAGATGCTTGACTTTATCGTCACAATCTTTCTGGTTATCAATCATATTGGCATTCTACAAGTTCTTTTACCAACTATTTTAGGGTGTGTTTGGGCGGTTCTTGGAACGACAAATGTAGTTGCAACATGTACGTCAAACTCCTGATGCAACTTCATATCAAAACAGGAGCAACACCTAAAAAAAAATTAGCTTATTTTATTGTTGCAACACACTATTGTTGTTGCAACAACCTCTAACCAAACATGTATGTTAAATGTTTGATCTAGCTGGAACAACATGTTGGTCCTACATTTATCCAAGTACGCCCTTAGTTATGTGGAAATTCTGAGATGACCTTATATGCATAATAGAGAGACTAGAACTTTTCATGGCATTATACTATTTGATTGCTAGTTGATGACTTCTTTTTTTATTTGTTCTAACTTCCATCATGAACTTTGTAGAACATGCTGCAAACTGGTATGATTGTTGGAGGCTGGGATAAATATGAAGGAGGTCAGATATACTCTGTACCTCTTGGAGGCACAATATTGAAGCAGCCATTCACTATTGGCGGTGAGTATTATACTTTTAGCGTGGAGTTGTGGACCATACAATCTCAAGCAAAAAAGTAAAAAAAATATAAATCAAATATTCTCAAGAATTAAAAGTTTTTGATTTGTTGAACTTCACCCTAACGTATCCCATGATTTTCCCCAATCTTTGCTTCTTTGAAGCTTCTACGGTTTATTCATGCATCAGCAAAAGCTTGTTCTCTTAACTCCCCTACTTTTGAGTTAGGATTTTATTCCATTCTTTTAGGAGTGTGGAAATTTATTAGTATTTTCAATCTTAATTTCTTTAGATTAACTCATGGGTCAAGACTATGCGAAGAAGGGTTTGGGTCCTTCTTGAGTGCAAGGTATTACATCATTTTCTTGACCAGACAGTATCATATGAATTTCTACTTAGGAAGCGCTCGAATGTTCTTGATTACCTAGTTTTTTTAAAGCTATACAGTGGCTAGGGGTGAATATTTGTCTTCCTTGTACCTACACTTGGACCTGTGATGTAGCATTTTCATGTGTTTCCAGAAATTTAGCATTTTTAAGGATTATAAATTATTTTTATTTCAGAAAATTTTCACTTTCTTCTTCAGTGTCAAATGGATGGTTCTCCTATTCGTCTCAGGAATAGGCATGTGCTCTTATGGATAAATTTGTCTTGCTACTGCCCTGCTATAATAACTTGAATTCTTTATTTTCAGGTTCTGGATCAAGTTATCTGTATGGCTTCTTTGATCAAGCTTGGAAGGAGGGCCTGAGCAAAGACGAAGCTGAGGTATGCAAAGTGGAGACCTGCAGTGGAATGTTTTATTAAACTATATATGCTCTGCCTAGGAACCTACCTTATAGAACCGTGTGATATTTGTTGTCATGGGTTTATTGCATCATTTCATGCTCTTTTGATGCAGTATAATATTTTAGGATGTGTATTTTTTTTATTTTGCCAAAGTTTATTGAACTGTTTGTTAGGACTAGGTTTGACATGAACGAGGCAGTCAAATAGGATTTGATAGCTCTTAGAGAAGGGAATGACCCTTACAAGAGCTGCAAAAAGGATCATGTGGCTAGTAAGTTTTGGGATGGAGGCTGTTTTGTTATCATTATTCAATTTAAATATGGACTAAATTTTGCTGCCTATGGACAGCCTGGGTCATTTTGATGGTTTGGTGCTTCAATTTTTCTTCATATGATGCACTCTTATTCATGATACTGGTCAATCTTGATATCATGATCTTCGTACGCTTGACTGCATTCCTCCAAGTGGGGTTTTATGCTGTGAATTTGAATTTGCTAATCCTTCCTGTTAATTGCGTATTGTTCATTCCTACTACAGATAGTTCATCAATTCGGAGTTAGTAAATATGAACAGCATTACTTTACCACTTAGTTTAAAGCTGTCATTAAGTTGGATCTAGCTGAAATATTACTCCTATTGTCAATGCAGAAATTGGTGGTAAAAGCTGTCTCCCTGGCCATTGCTCGTGATGGGGCGAGTGGTGGAGTTGTTCGCACAGTCATCGTAAGTATCTTACTGTTTATTGTTTCGGAAAAATATTCAATTTCGTACAGCTTTTAAATGAAACTGAACTACAATGTGGTGACTCTGGTTACCCCTCAAAACTTGCCTTTTACGTCCCCTCTTTGGCTTGTGGATTACAGTAGGATTGTAGCTAGCAACAATGCTTTATATTTTCTTTTCCCATTTAGATACTTAATACAGGAAAATTTTCAGTATGACATTTTCATGTGGTGGTTATGCAGATAAATAAAGATGGTGTTACCAAAAACTTCTATCCTGGAGATGCCCTTCCGCTGTGGCATGAAGAGCTGGAGTCGGTGAATTCTCTACTTGACTTGCCTGAGAAAATGGTCGAGTAGAGAAAATTGGCTTGTACCTCGTATTTGTTTCACAAGTTAAAAACTCGAGGTTTATGGCCGAGATGTCAGTTCTGGTATCTGTACTGGAGATGTTTCCTACTATACTTGTTATAAGCTATAGTTGGTTTGAATACATGCAGCACTAGCTTTTCCTTTTCTTTGAAGCCATGTGTTTGATCTCTGTCTCAATATTTGCCCTTTCATAATGGATTTTGTATTCTCTTTCTTTGGATTTTGGTTGTCGGTAGTTCTGTTATTTCCGTTGTATGATCAGGGCTGAAGTATTTATTTGCCTTTTTTTATCCTTTTGGGAAACATATGTTCGGTGTTATCTCAACATTGATCCTTAATTACCCGAGCTTACAACAATGAATCTCTGCTCCCTATCTGCGCAAGACTAAAATCCTATAATGGAAATTGTAGTTTTGATTTTAGTCTGCTACCGCTCGAAAATTTAAAATGGCTATAAATAAATAAGATAGTAGAATGCTCTTAAGGCAACGTGTCGTGTTTGAACTGCTCGTGAATTTGAATTTTGCGTTCATTGCGGCTACCGCATTTGTAGTGTTTTACCACGTAGAAATTCTTCTAGTTTATTATTTCTAATAAAATTGTATACATTTGTTTGAAACGCAAGGATATATACGAACGACATGCGCATGTCAATAAAAAAAACAACAGAACAACATACCTGAGCATATCCGAATAAAATATCACGTACGTGCAAATGGCTTTGCCTTCTATAATGTTACGAGGAATTTAAGATTTTAATCTTCCATGAAAAGATTATGGAGAAAACTATGTCTGTTGGTTTCATATTACAGTAAATGAGATCCATCAGCCCATATTATCGAAGTCAATGACCAGATCACTGCACGAGATAATAAAAAACGCATCCTCTCTTCAGAAAAATTGATACATAAATTGCATGACTTCTACATTACATTGAAGAAAAAAATAATAAAGAGGAAGACAGAGAGATCATGGATTCTAAAAGGGAGGTGATGATGGTAGCAGCGCTGTTGCTGTTGATGGCATGAGGTGGGGTATTCGCGAGGCATACATACATACATCTATAAATACAGTAGCAACAATGTCACGGTATATATCCATCAATAGCGTGCGTATTTTTGACAGATATATACACTTCAATCAAAATATACCTAGATAAGATTAATGCACAAGTTTACGATCAAACATACGCTTGTTACTGAATTTTGCAGTATTTATACAAATGCGCGCGCGCTCACGTACGTATACTTCACCTCATACCACGAACAGCAACAGAACACCACCATCACCTTCCCTTTGGAATCCATGATCTCTCCATCCTTCTCCATGCTTCATATAATGAACTTCAGGCTTATATATAGAGAGGTCAGATTAATGCATGGCATTTTGATTCACTTCTTATGAGGTTTAGTATTTCTTTAAACCGTCTTAGGCCGGTTAATTACAATATGTACGTATAATTAAATACCCTTACGTATCACATTGAATTCGATCTGTTGCATTGCTGGATTTTGTCCATACCATCTTTTTTTTTTTATATTTTATTGATTATTTTATTAGGAGTAAAGTATGGTTTGATTTTGTTGGTTTGTCAAGCGTATAAATTATCTGGGGAGATAAATTAATAGCCCTTATACTTTGTGAGTAACAGCTAATTAATTTTGTTGTTTAGTTATCGTTATTATATCAATCCGGAATTTGAATTTCTTTTACCATTTGTTTGTTATGCATGCGACAAAGAGACCGCGTTTTAAATCGTAATAACATTTCATTAATTTTCAAATACATGTTGTTATCATATCTCCGTTATTTGTTTTACCATGTCAACTCCACAATCTAGAGATTACATCCTCGATCGCATGTTGGAGTTTTGAGTGTATTTTAGAATTAAGTGTTCTATTTTTAGTCCCACTTAGGAAAATGATAGAGTTTGAAGTGTTTATAAGTAATGTCTTTTTTTCAGTGCAGTGAATGGACAAAATCCAGTGTGCTTGATTTTACTTTTGACTAGTGATTTATTCTAATATATTAAATTAAATATAAATAATTATTATTGAGAAATTTATGAGGATAAAGGTAAAGATACTGGATAATAGTGTATTAAATAATAAATCACTATATTTATTAAATTAACCAGTCCATTATATTTGTGTTTAACCAAGTACCATGTAGTTATACAAGTATACTAATATGTATAATTGCTTTTGGAGCAAAAAAAAAATGTCAGGGGTTTCTGTAAAATTAACCCTTTTCCTGATTTGGCTTTGCGCTCTAAGGTAGCGGGATTTTGATAATTTTCGTTACCCGCTTATTACTAATCAAGATTTGGTGTTTAATTGTGAGTTCAATTGGAAACTTAGAGTGACTGTTGTCCTCCTATTGGGGGAGAAATCGGGTCCAATTTAGAGTTGATGGGCCTAAAACATGGATTAGGAATCCATTTTAACCCAAAAGTTATAGCTATTAGGTATTGACCCAAATTCCTATTTAAACTAGTCACTCTTTCTTATCTTATCCGATGCTGGACTATACTCACATATTAATCACCTCAACACTCTCCCTTATTTTGTGAGTATATTTCAATTCAACTATAATTCAATCTTCCACGAAATTCACTAAGTTTTTGCACCACTTCACTCGTAGGCTAACCAATTCACAAACTTTTGCACCACTCCACTCGTGGGCGACTCGTGGGCTAACCATACAATGCATTCAACACATAGCTATCAAACATCCGTAGGAACTTCTACCACTTCACTCATGGTGGCTAACTAGACTATATCCCTCCTACGCGCATCCGTGGATTCTCCCGACACCTTTGGGCTTCACATCGAAGATCATCTGTTTTTTTTTTAAATTATTTGGACCATGACTTTAGCTCTGATACCATTGTTGGGAGTGAAATCAAGCCCAATCTAGAGTTGATGGGCCTTAAACAGAAGTTAGGAATCAATTTTAACCCAAAAGCTATAGCTATCAGGTATTGACGCAAACTCCTACTTAAACTCATCACTCTTTCTTATCTTATCCGATGTGAGACTATACTCACATATTAATCACCTCAGCAACTCCATTTGAGATATGTTGCTGGAATTGACATCAGCATTTTCTTTCCTTGGCTAGAGCTAGTTATATATTTGCCAAAAGACATCTCTAGCTAATTACTAATTTGAAAAACCACAATATCAATGTACCAATCAATTACTTTCAAAGAGAGGTGGGAAAAAGATTATCCAAAAAAAAAGAGACAATTTTGCCTTTTGAATAAATAAGCCTACAGGCTCTGGGCTCAGTTAACCTTAGTGGCCTAGTCTGGGCCCAGATATTGTTCATTTGGGCCCCTTGCCATGTGAACTTGAAATAAACATGTCCCAGCGGCATTATAGCAAAACATGAAGAAATGACAAAAGAGCTTTGCTACAGGGACCCAAAATATGGGAGCAATAAAGGGGACAAGTGAGGTGTTCACCTCCTATTGGATAATGAGTTGGCCATCATTAATGATGGCCAACTCATTATCCAATAGGAGGAGAACACCTCACTTGTCCCCTCTATTGGTCCCATATTTTGGGTCCTTGAGGAATTTTTCATGACAAAAAGTACAGTAGATAATGATCAATGGTGATGCCAAAAAGGTAAACTTAGCTCATAAGGTATATCGTTTCTTATTTCATGAAAACTACATTGAATCATTCCATTTTTAGTGGCAAGGTTGCTTTTAGGCCAAAATATAGTAAACATATCGTACACATAATACAAACTCGATCTACGAGAACATTCTCAAAAGAAGCGAGGCAATCTAAACTATAAAGATGACATTCAAAATTTCAAATATGCCCCCTCCTAAAATGCTCCTATAAATGATAGTAAACACCCCCATTTCTATAAAATTTGTACTACACAAGTCATTTTATCAAACATTTCTCTGTTTATTTATTTTTAATTGTTTATTGCTTATATAAAATCGTGAATATTTTCATTAGTTTGTTTAGTGGGATTATCTCGCACTTTTTGATGCCGCTTCAAAGTAGCGAATAGGTGCAAGGACCACCTACGACACAGACCTAAAAGATTAACTTCACATTATCGACTGATTATTGTGAAGCCAATGATAGGCAGTATCTATACACATAAAATCAAAAATATTAAACTTTTGAATAATAATATGTTGTGCTGACGGCGGCGCCGAGGAACCAAAACAAACGCCGATCCAAGAAGGCCAAAAACAACCAAATATCAATGCACAAACCAAACACCAATTTTAACGTGGTTCGGCAATTGCCTACGTCCACGGGGCAAGAAGGGGGGTGGGTTTTCACTAATAGAGAAGGAGAGTACAAATTGAGATTACAAATCGCTCAAACGAACCAACTAATCTCACCAACAAATCTCTCAAACTCTCAACCAATAACTCTAACAAATAGCTCAGAAAGATCTCTCTTTTCTGTGCTCCAAAATCCCCAGATTTTCTCCTACAAAACCCTCAAATCGTATTGGTATTTATACCAAAACAGAAACCCAAACAGACTGCAAATAGGAACTCTAACTTTCCAAAAAACCCGTCATAAGTCGACTTAACAGTCTGCATAAGTCGACTTGGCAGAGCGAAAAACAACAACTGGAGAAGAGATCATAAGTCGACTTATCAGACCTGATAAGTCGACTTGGCAGAGCGAAAACCAACAATCCAGAACAGAACGTAAGTCGACTCATGCACCAACATAAGTCGACTTACCATAAGTCGACTTATGCCTGTGCATGAGTCGACTTATGACCAAAAATCTGCTTTTTCCAATTCTTCTCCACAATTCTCCACCTCGGCAAAGTTTTCCCAAAACTGAGCCGACACCAACCAAACAAATGCCTCACATGCTGAGACCCAAATGAGAGTGTGAACACTCACCCCAAATGTCGATGTCGCTCACCAAATCGGCTGCATCAAAATGACTGCCTACGAAATGATCCCCAACCTGTGTCACCTCAGCTGGAGTCCCGAATGATGCAGTATGATCTGAAGTACGTGGAGTAATCTCCACCCAACGTGGAGTAGCATCACTCTCCACCTGCTGCGATATCCAAATGACCTGATCAACACTCTCCACCTGCCGAGAGTCAAAAGTGACATACCTGCTCAGAAAAAGATCAGAAGCTCCCAAACGATAATCAACTGAGCCTCCGAACCCCAAACTCGCAATCGGATCTAATCTCACATCCACGATG